TTCCGTTAGGTTTTTCTTTTTGTTTTGTTTATTAGTTTTCCTTTGCTTGTGTACTAAAAGTCTTTAGTTTTAAGTTTTTTTTTTAAATAGCTGAAATTCTTTTTTTTTTTTTAAGCTTGTAAGTTTAATTAGGTTCCATTTGTTTATTTTTACTTTTATTTCTATTGCCTTGGTAGACTGCCCTAGGAGGACATTGCTAAGATTTATGTCAGAAAATGTTTTGCCTATGTTTTCATCTAGGAGTTTTGTAGTGTCTTGTCCTACGTTTAAGTTTTTAAGCCATTTTGAGTATTTTTGTGTATGGTGTGAAGGGAACGTTCTAATTTCATTGATTTACATGGGGCTTGTCCAGCCTTTCCAACACCACTTGCTAAAGACTGTCTTTTCACCATTGTATGGCCTTTTTTATGTGTTGTCGGATTCTGTTGGCTAATATTTTGTTGAGAATTTTTGCATTTATGTTCATCAATAATATTGGCCTGCAATTTTCTTTTTTGGTAGTGTCCTGTCTGGTTTTGGTATCAGGGTGATGGTGGCTTCATAGAATGAGTTTTGGTAGAGTTTGGGAAGCATTGGTATGTGTTCTTTGTGTGTTTGATAGAATTCCCCAGTGAAGCCATCTGATCCTGGACTTCTGTTTGAAGGGAGGTTTTTAGATGCTGATTCTATTTCACTTCTGATGATTGGTTTGTTCAAATTGTCTGTTTCTTTTTGATTCAGTTTTGATGGACTGTATCTTTCTAGAAACTTGTCCATTTCTTCTAGGTTGTCCAGTTTGTTGTCATGTACTTGTTCATACTATTCTCTTACAATTTTTTGCATTTCTGTGGTGTTGGTTGTAATTTTTGCATTTTCATTTCTTATTTTCTTTATTTGTGTTCTCTCTCTTTTCTTCTTGGTGAGCTTTGCAAGAGGCTTGTCGATTTTGTTTACTCTCAAAAAACCAGCTCTTGGTTTGATTGATTTTTTTTCTTTTTTTTTTTATCTCCTTTTTATTTATTTCCTCCCTGATCTTTATTATTTCCTTCTGATGACTTTAGGTTTTGTTTGTTCTTCCTTTTCTAATTCTTTTAGGTGG